AAGTTCCGGCGTACGTACGTATCGTTTTTTCGTGGGGAACTCCCACCACTTTCCAAAGAGGAAATTTACTCATTAATCCGACCCGTACGCTTTGCATAGCAATACATGTAGCAGTCTGTCAAAATGATTTTTATTTTTTTTAGAAATACTGAAAGTTTCAAAGAGATCTTCGCACTAGAACTAGAAGTATTCTAAAATGTGAAGAATACAACCCAAAGGGTACAAAATGACACCAGGGCGTACACGGAAAGGGTTAAGGCATGATATCAAACGTCCTTAATTTTCATGAAGCTAAAACGTGTGTTTGCATTCTGCAAACTGCACTGCACTTATTTCTGTCATGCCTCTATTAGTAAGAAGATCTAAACATGAACATGAAAATCAGTTCTATTCAGACAATCGCAAAGCTCACAGAATTTATTTTTTTTAACAACCCAGAATTGTTGCAATCGTCGGTAGTCTCAAAACTTAATCGTGCCTCGATTGTTATTATTATAGTCGGGTGCAAACCATTTTTCTTAAACGTAAAAAAAATTTGAATAGCTGGTCATTCTACCAAATTGTTTTAAATGAACCTTTTGACATTCTGAAACGACAGCCTACAGATCTATTACGTTGTTTCCTACCAACTGAAAATGTTTAATGTGTCCCGCGCGCTCATATGACCTTATGCAGTTGCGAGGGCCGTAAAATATTTACAGGATACGTGTGAATCTAAACTGCACCAAGCCGTGTGTCAAACATATCAACAAGAACTAACCAGAATTTAAAAAATAATAGTAAATAAATAAAATAAAATGAAATAATAATTTAAAATAATAAATCTACTATAATCTAGCTAGTGGCGTCATTGTACGTGGGGCTTGCAGCTTCATCCCCACCTGCTGGTTTTCTTCCCCCAAAAGACATAAGTTATGTCTGTCTAAAATCAAAATAAATCATTCCACAAAAATTATTGAAGGGACAAAACATGATAATGTATTTCGATAAAAAGAGGAACTCTTCGAACACCCAAATGAAACTCCTGAGGCACGGTAATAATTTAGCTGGAAAATGAACAACTTTCGTTGGGTCTGATATTTTATTATTATACTATTTCTTGAATACTTCAGGCTTTGTTATTATTATTCATACTTCTGATTCTTTTTAAATTTATGCTGCTCCTAATAATAATCATCATCATCCAGTGCCAGATCTGCGACAGACCCACTGATGTACACTATATCAGTTTAAAAGGGGGTACTCTATGGGCAGACCTCGGCGATCATGGTTCTCCATTCACTCCTTTTCTCCGATGCTCTTTAAAAAAAGCTACGTTTCCCTGACCTTTTTCCCGTTACCGGTACCCATTTGTTTAGGTTCCCGAAGTAGGTTGCTGTGGGCCTACCCGTTACTCGTTTGTCTTCAATTTTGCTAATGATAGCTAGATCTAGATGTTCAAGACCTTTATGTCTATTC